CTGTTATATTCTTGGATATTCATTATGCAACTTCACTGCTGCACCGAAAATGTCTCGTACTAGATTCAATTCAGATCTATATTGCGAATGTCTTTCTATTGTAGTTGAACTTGTGCTTGTTCTTATTATCTACTTAACATCGTTTGTATTCATTTCAGACCAAACCAATTACAGTTTAATTTCAGTAAAATCAAAGAAGTCCACGCTTGTATTCTTTTCTACAATGCTTCTTCTCATCGGAAGAGTCATTAACTTTGCAGATTTTAGCCCTTTCAGAACCCCTAGGCTTTTGAATATGGGCTTTATTATGATTGTTTCTTCCTGTTTTATACTCTTCATCTCCGTACTGCTGTCGTTTGTATTTGACGTCAAGTGCATATGCAGCTTCTTTGCTTTTGAAAGACTTGATAGATCTGAATGCATCGTTCTATTTTCCACTATGCTTCTTTCATTTTTGACACTCTTTATACCTTTTAAAACCTTGTTGAAAAAGATCAGTGGATCTTGATGTGATCACTAGACGATGTTCTCCAAATCTTTTAGAAAGCATTCCCAATTGTTGAGTTAAATTTTATAGATGAAGTTTTTTCATGCACGTCTTAACGATTTGCTATTTTTTTAGTATTTGTTATGAATGTTAAAACCGAATATTAAATAAAAAGAAGATAAGTAACCTATTCGCCAAAGAAGTTTAAAAGAATCCTGCTGATCCTTTATCTCTACTCCTTTAATTGTATTGGAAATAAACTATTCAAATGTGTATATAATCAAATGGGCAGTTGATGTGTTGTATTAAGCTTACATGCAAGACTGATATTAAAACTGATCCAATGTAGTGATCATCTTTAACATTAGCTCAAGAACTATTTGCTTTATAACGAAATTCGCTTAAATTTATGATGATTACTATGTGTTTTAAGAGTACTTGACCTAAAATTAACAATAGCCTTTATTGTAAATGGTCTAGCTGTCTATAATTATGTCTTCCAAATTTTTCAAAAAATTTACCCCTTAGAATGGTGTCAACACTACAGCAGTCGATTAACTTTGTTGCTAGAACCCACATTTCTGATTTGAAAAATGCGTTCTACAATCTTTTGACATTCGGGATGTTTTATGTTGTTTGCAGGCTGTCTAAAAGGATGGAAATCATTCTAAAAACATCTCCCGCTATTCTTTCCGAAGCTAATTGCGTTTTGCTAGAGGATCAATATGGCCAATATCAAATCGTAATGGTTAAGAGAATACCAACCAGAAACACACTTGTTCTCTCCAGATATATCAAAGATCACTGCTGTACCATCCTGGACACCTGCTATGGAAGATTCATCTACGATTACAAATTGGACAAGTTTGTTATTCCATCCTATATCTTCAATGTAAAGAAATCATTTGATGATGTTTATCAAAGTTATATTATGAAAAGCAAAGAAGAAGAAAGAACAGAAAACTATGAGAAAACAATAATATTTGGAAAAAATGAACTAGGCATGCAAATTCCAGAGCTATCAGAGATATTCTTAAACCAGCTTTTTGATCCCTTAGTTCTCTGGGAAATCATCTCGCTAATCATTTGGATTAGTATTAATTATATAATATATGCTTCAGTTGCAAGTATAATCTTTACGGCAATGTTTGTGATTGAAATTAATAGAGAAATTAAAAATAGAAACGCACTGCTCAGGAGCTTAAGGGTATCAAATGTTAGGGCGCTGAGAGAGGGCGCTTTCAGATCTGTTCCAGAGTGCGACATTCTGCCTGGAGACATCGTTTACATTGACACAACCGACAACTTCACCTGTGATGTAGAGATATTGAAGGGAGATGTAATAACCGATGAGAGTTTCTTGACGGGGGAGGCGGTGCCCATTTGCAAAGGGATTGGATCGATTGTGTACTCTGGAACTAAAGTCATAAAGTCCACGTCTTCTTCTGTCTCGTTGAATAACACAAAGCTTGAGAAGTTGGTAAGAGTTAAGAATCTTACGCGCTCTAAGGCCTCATCATTTGTTGCTCCAGTATCAAGTTTTGACCAGACCGATAATTCTGCTATTGGTATTGTTTTAAAAACAGGCAAGAAAAACTAAAAGAGGAATACTTTTCAAAAATTTAACAATAAAGAAGCCGTCAACAAATGAATTCAATACTCAAAGCTTGGTTGTCATCCGGTACTTAATTGCCTTTTCCCTCATGCTTCTGCTAATATTTATGGCCTATCTCTATTTTAGAAAGGTTCGTGTCACAAAGGTAATCCGATATTCATTTGACCTTTCATTTACATTTTTTTCGCCTGCTCTGTATACTTCACTTGAGCTTGGCGCGCAG